TTACATATTGCAAAAAGCCAATGGCATTAAATGCTTCTGCATGTGAGAGTACAAGTATCTTTGACCTTCTGGAGTCTCATGTCAGCAAACAGAAAGTCCTATGTGGTCCAAATATGAGTGCTCACATGCATCAAATGTACATGGACCAGATATATAAATGATCCATGTGGATTAAATATAAATGACCCACATGCGCCAAATTTAAATAACCTACAGGAACCAAATATAAAGACTCATTTGTACCAAATATAACTGACACCTCTGCATTAATTACAAATGAGGCACATGAACCCATTAAAGGATGTTTTCCTCTCTATGCATCCTTCCCATATCCCAAACACTTGATGCTGGCAGCCAGTTCACAATGTGGGAAGAAGACAAATCTATTGGAAATGGCATAGCTAGAGATACTACAATCTGCTCTATGGTGTTGGTCTTTTTGCTTCTTTCCCTATAGAATTTTGTGTATGAGAACATGTGCATGGATATGTGTTTGTTCTGCCTTGTCTCCATTCTTTTTTTATAAATCTCCAGTTTACTTTTACCACAGTTTCATAAGTGATATAATCAACCCACTTTTGAAATGCTCACCTTTCTCAAGGACAAATATTTGTTGGCTAAGAACTTTCTTGTAAGTTCAGGAAATGCAGATTGTTTCTTTTCTTCTTCTTATTTATTTATTTTAAAAACAATCTTAACTTACATACCAATCCCAGTTCCTTCTCCCTCCTATGCTCCTGCTCCCCCCCACCTTCTCCCCATGCCTCCATCCACTCCTCAGAGAGGGTGGGACCCACCATGGGGAATCAACAAAGGCATGACTAAGACCCTCCCTCTGTATCTAGATTGAGCATATCCCTCCATAGGGAACAGTCTCCAAAAACCAGTTCATGTACTAGGGATAAATACTGGGTCCAGTGCTTGTGGCCCCACTAACTGCCCAGTGTCCCCAACTGATACTTTCAGAGTTTAGTCTTATGCAGATTATTGCTTTGATAGGGCTGCCCACTTTAAAAAATAACAATTTAACATATAATTTAATCACTGTGCTTATAGACCCAGCATTATAGTAATTATGTGTTGGTTGACTGAAAACTTGAGGTCTTAATGGAGGAAAATGCCTTTGTTTTGGTTGGATTCAATAGTTCTAATGTCAGGCTAATTAAACCCAGATGATGGTTCCTAGTTGGGAAGGAAAAGAAAATTAATTGTAGGGTACAGATAAAGAATGTTAAGTAGAGATATAAGAAGGGGAAGGAACTGTATCCTAGAGTTCATAAAAGTGTTTCTCCCAAAGAATCATATGAATGTCTGGGAAGTGAGAGTCTAATAGATTTCTACCTGATCTCCTATTGTATTTTATTCCTCCTTGTTATTAGGATTTACTTAACTATCTTGAGATAGTATTCTAATTTAACCCCAGACTATATTGGCCATGCTTTTTAGTTTTTTTGTTTTGTTTTGTTTTGTTTTTTAACTCGAGTCTTTGTGTCCAGGAATTCACTTTGTAGACCAACTTGGCCTCAAACTCACAAAGACCTGACTGCCTCTGCCTCCCAGTACTGGGATTAAAGGAATTCACCACCACCACCCACCCTGCCTTACTGTGCTTTTATGAACTCACCTATAAACTTATTTAACATTCACATTTTACATAGTAAAATACTTTTATTTGTACTAAGATACATTTAAATTACAAAAGTGAAATAATGAACAGGTGCCAGAAAAGAATCCTGTAATTGTGGAATACCTTGTTAGAAGACATTGCTGGCTGGTCAGAGATTGCAGCCTCCCCATGGTCTGGCAGTTTTTCTCAGTCAGGTACACAAAGTGGAACCACCTGAGCTCCCTGTCTCTACCTGCCCTTCTCTGGAGAATGTCCCTGGGCCTGGATCACTGACCTTATCAAAAATCTGTCTCTACAACAGAATCCTGACTCATCTTAGCTTGACCCTTAGCACAGATCCCTAGAGCGATTGCTAAGGACAATTCTATAGAACATGACTGCCACTTACTTACTGATCATTGTGATAGAAGTGTGCCACTTAATGCAAATTAGGGTTTGTTCCCCAGGCTCCCCACTCCTATATATTCTTTATATTCTTGAATAAAGTGGAGCAATTCCCTGAAATCTGTCTCTCTGAGGGCCAGTCTCCATTCATGCCCATGAGCCAACAAAACTTTCTGATTTCCCCTCTGCCTCTTTCTGATTTCTACTTGGTAGCCAGCAGGCCCAGACAGAAAGAGGATTCCTATCAAATCTATATGCCACAATACCTATCAAATCTATTTGCTTGACTACATAGCTGAGCAGTGTTTGCTTTCTGTCTATTGCTATTGTTGTACAGTAATAGAATTCACATAGAGAATGTCAGATAAGATTTGCTTTTGATCTTGTTGGATGTATTTATTCCCATAGATACCTGTTCACTGACTTCAAGACTAAATGAATGAGAATTTAGTTATGTACATTCCTAGCTTCTGAAATTTAATCACAGCCCAATGTGAACTTATAAATATAACATTTTGTTTTGACATAAAAGTGAAAGGATTTTAGTGATTTCTTCCTACTTTGTAGCCATTGTCATGTATAATAACTATTTCATGACTTTTATGTCTTCCCGACTTTCCAGAAAACATTACAGACAATGAAATTTGATCACTAAAGCAGCCTAGCAGGCCAGAAACATTCTGTAGAAAACCAAAAACTTATTCAACATTTTCCCCTTTGATTATAGTTACTATAATGTAAACTTGTTTTTAAATCTAACTTTCCATTTTATGTCTGGGTCAGCAAATGGCTAATAGACAGATATTAAGAATAGTCCTAATAGCAGTTCTATATTGTAAAACATGGTCCCAATGCTCAATCCATGTTTACAAACTGCTAAAACAAAGACGTGGACTGATTCTTTAGCGAATATTGTTTGAATGAAGTTGCAGGGGTAACTTATTAAACTATAATAAAATCGACTTTGAGTTGTCACGTAAGGAAATGTTCCACAGTGAGCAGTAACATTAAACACAAGGTCACATTTTATTACATCCTTGTATTAAATGCCATTGTTGGGACACTAGAGTTTGACTAGCAGCTAAGAGAGCTTACTGCGCTTGCAGAATACCAGGGTTAAGTTCCTAGCAAGCAAATGATGTCTCATAACTGCCAGCAACTGCAATACCAGAAGTTCCAATGATTTCCTATTCTGGCCTCTCCAAGCCCTTGTATCCTAATGGTGCACACAACTTACCCAAGCACATACATATACACTTCAAATAAGAAATGAATAAATAAATAAGCATCTAAATATTGTTGTTACATTCAAAACACCATTGGTTCAGTGTTATAAAACTTAGGACATGTTTTCAACTCACTGTGTAGCCATTGAACTTTGCTAACTGAAGTTCGTCTATTGTTTATATGGCTGTACTTATGTAAAACTACAGTAGTTAGGTTATATCTAAAAGGCGTTAGATATTGACTGGTGAGTCATAAGTTAGCAAAGCAGGTTCATTTATTGGTTGATAGAATTAAAAAAAATGAAAACTATATCATATATAGAAATGACACTACCTAATTACAATTAATATTAATGAATGTCAAAGAATTACACAATTTTTATACATTTATGATAAGTACTAATGTCCTTGTTGAATTTTAAAGTGACCATAATAATGAGGTTACTAGAGATAGTCTATAGTCTGTACATTCTATGTTTCACTTTCTGAGATGAATATTACACTTACACATGTACATGACATAGACATTCTCAGGTGTTCCAACTGTTGTTGGAGCTGTGCCTTTAAGAGTAGGAGAAAAATACACAAATTAAAAAAGGAAGCTGGCAGGAAATGGAAAAGGAAGAAACATGTAGGGCAATATAAAATATTGTTTGAGCTCTTGGTAACTACTCAACCTGCTTTACCTCAGAGTCTGCATATACTCATTCCAGGGGAGGGGCAGCAAAAGATGTAGAATTTGTCATGAAGCTAAGGAAATGAGATTGTTTAAAAAATGAAATTACCTTTGCTCATCAGCAGTCATTTTTCTTTACTGTATTTTTTGATTCTGGCAGGACTTTTGGGCAGCAATTGATTCTGCATAGTCATTGCACATTTCAGTAATACAAATGCAAAATGAAGTTTTCTCTCTTTTTTCTTTATTCTAGGAAGTAGATCATTGATACATGCCCGTGATATATCTAAATCAGAGGCTCATAAAATAAAAAATAAAACATCAAAAGAAAAACTATGTTGTATTTCCCTAAAGTTTGCATTGTTACTCTTCACATTTAACTAAAAGTTACACTCAAAATGTACGCATATGTAATTTAGTATAAGTTTTATATAGTATTAGAATATGTATTTTGGATGAAAGATAAGCATTGTAGTATACAATTGTATATTAGAAGTTATATATGAATATATTATATATTTCAGAATAAAAATGGATATATTGATAGATAATCCTCACTAAAGTAAATACACTCTTAAATGTTAATTGATCCTTAAAAAGTAATTTATTCATAATATATTGCTTGGATTTCAGACAACCTACCTTGTATAACTAATAGTAAGGTGCAGCGAACATTTTGAGCAAGCCTTGATCTGTGGGTGTGTTAGGAAATAGTTTTGGACTTTACTTTCAGTTATTTGCTGGTTTGCATCTTTGATTCATCCAGGTAGAAATGCATTTAGCTGAACGCTGAATAAATGTATGTATCATCATACTAATAAGGGTGCCATTGACAGAGATCCTGGCAGTTACTTTGTACTATTTCCATCTTATTTAAATCAAAATCTCCTTCAAAGTAATTTTTCTTGGGAAGACAATGTCTTATGTAACAGGAATTATCAGTGACCATAGCTCTTTGGAAATGGTTATTCTCTGAAATTTAATTTTTGAAATATCAAATAGATAAGGAAGGATTCATGATTCAGTTGGCCCTTTTTATCCCACTTGGTCTTTCTATTTGTTAACTAAAAATATTTTATCTTTCAAGCATTCCCGACTTTGCTTTCCTTTGCTATCCTCACCCTACACACCATCACTACTAGACTTCAATCTGTTGACCCGCTTCCTCCAGGTGAGCATTTTCTTCATCTGCTAGCTTTCTTCTCTGTGATCCGAATTTTACTTGTTAGATGATGGCATTCCTGTGACTGTACATTTGCCATGCAGAAATATGGATCTTAATTCTTTAAAAAAAAAAGAAAGAAAAACAAACAGAAGTGATTTGCTGCGACTTTTGCATCTGCCAGACTAGTATTTCACAAAGAGTTTTGTGTGTGGAATTCAAGTGAAAATAAAAATACTGTGTGAAATCAGGATTTCTGTTGCTTAGTATACTTAAATGAGTTTAGCGGTTTATCGACAAGCATTTTATATGTGAAGTCTATCCTTTGTACTGATTTTACATTCTAGGCAGTATAGGTTTTGACAAATGGAAAATTGATGCACTGTAGTGATCAGTGAAGGAAAGAGAGACTTGACTATTACAAATGTTGTGGGTGTTGAGCAAAGGACTTCACGGTCCCAGTCTGAAGAAATCTTTTGCCAGAGAAACTAGGTCCCCAAATTCTTGTGCCTTTTTGAACAACTAGTTGCTGGTCATCGTAGATAAGGTTTCTTTTATGGGAACTTATTAGAGGCTTTGTATGCACTACTTTAAAATATCATTACACATCACTCTCATATGAATTCCTAGAGGAAAGGAAGAATCCAATTTGTGCGAGTTTAAATAGCTGGTTGTGTAAAACATCATAGACCTATATAGCGGAGGCCATTTGTTCCAATATTCTAATCTCTAAGCATGCTCTGGATGGGAAACAGATAATCTGAGCACAGTGAGATTTGTTGTAGCTGGTCTAGCTAGAAAGGAAGTCTGGGTAGAAGTCTTAGTTTACCTATGTGTGTGTGTGTGTGTGTGCGCGCGCACGCGCGCGTGTTTGTGTGTCTACATTTTTATAGTCTCAATACTGAACCATTTGAATGAGTTTCTGAGACTTGATGCTCTCTGAGTAGTTTAATCTTTGCATATGGGAAGGTCTAGTTACTGAAGAAAATGGTTATATTAGGTTGTTGCTTTGTTGAAAAAAATATATAAAAGTATATTCTGGCAACATATAAATTACTTTTATATTTATTTGTGTTGCTTTACTTATGCCAGAAATAGAGACATTTCCCTTACTTCCTGCATGGAAATGAATGGAAATTGAAGATGAAATGTAAAGAAAAAAAATGGGTAACATTTAGTGTGAAAAATTTTTACTGTCTCTGATTTGGAGATTTTTATTTGAAGTTTAAAACTCAGGCTTGTGTCCATATCCACACATAATACATAGTCTATATCAAGTCTTCATTTCTCCCTTAAATAATTTCTCTTAAATAATTCCTTAGAGAACTGTGGTTTATCTTAATTGTAAAGAAAAAATTTATTTTTTAATTTAGTAAAATTATTTTTAAAGGTATTACATATGCCAAAAACATTCTTAGCTTTCAGAATATAGATTTCTCTACTCTGTTCCTTATATTTTTATGTACATTTTTGTCTTGATCTGACATAAACTTTCTATTCAAGGGCATATCATATGCGTTATCGGGTTCATAGCCAAATTTCCAAAGACATACATGTATTTTGCATTTGAATTTCTGAGGTGACTGTGAGCTGTGACTGAGCACCCAGAAACCTGAAACTGTAGTTAGACTGAACAAGCTTTACTTCTATATCCACAGGTTAGTGATAGGCCCTTTACTTAAGGAAAGGTCCCTTCCATTCCTTTCCATTTGGTATAGTATTTTTATTATATTTACAGAGTATGCACACATACGCATGCATGTCTTATTATTGGAAGCCTTTTTTGATGGTAAATATGTGACAAATTTGAAGTTATCTTATCATTTCAAATATTTGCAGTGTGTTATTGAAAGTATCAAGTCATCAACATGGTGAAGCTTGCAAATATCATCCATTAAATCTGTTATGTAATAAAACTTCAGTTTAACATACAGTTGTAAAGTTTTACTAAATTTTATCCTTTGGTAACATCCACATGTGTATTATAACAAAACTGTCATACATGATATAATCATTTATCTAACATTATAAAAGAGTTAGAATAGAAGCACTTTGCAGATAAAAAATATCTACTTTTACAATTGTTCATTGGTATTCAAGGGTTTTAGGGTTATACACTCAACTAACCAGGTAGCATAAGTCTGAATTATGTTTCTGTTTCTGAATTCAAAATGCACATATTTTCTTGTCATTATTAATCATATAAATTAGAATCACTATTTACAAATCATTTACAGAGTTTTAGATGTCTGAGGTAACCTAGAGATGACTAAAGTGTGCAGGTGGATATGTATAAGTTCTATCAGATGACCCCATTTTATACAAGAGGCTGAGAAGTGAGAAATTTGCCTTTCTACAGGGCTTGTTATCCTGTCTCCTTCTGTGCTATAGGCAATGAGGAAATAAGTCATGTGTATAAAGAAAAATTAAAGCAAATACTACATCATTTATTTTTAGAAGATATATGCAAATTTGGTTATTTTCAATAATAAAATATGCTTACTCAGTAAATAAAGGAAAGTGGGAGGGAAGTTTCTATCTACCAAGTACTGCTAGCCTAACGCCATTTACAAGTTTTCAGTAATATTACAAACACCTAGATATGTGGCTTTTGTGTGCATATACATTTTTATAAATTCAATAAATGACCACTAAACAGTTTACTAGAAATCTACCAAATATAATAGTTAAAATTGTATTTCAAGGTGAGCCTAGGGATTTTATTTGGGACAATTATAGGCTAAAGAATATATAGATCTGAAGCTTATAAAGCAAATCATGGATGAATTTTAGTTGAGAGTAGATTGCTATTCAAATTTAAGTTGTTATCTTCTCTGAGCAGAAATTTAGTGATTCCATCTCTGTGATCAGTTTTCCATATTCTGACTTTTGTAATGTTATTTCTAAAATGAATTTAGGATTTAGTTAAGAGGTTGCTGCAGATTTTATGACAATGCAAGGAGACTTGCTTAAGACCCAGAAAGTATGCTTGTTGCTTCCCAGTAATGTACTATTACTTTCCTCTGTAATATACTGAGTAGATGTCTCTCTGCTGGAGAATAGAGACAGAGAGGGATGGGAGGGAGAGATTAACAACATTAACAGGTAGGAATTTCTTTTCTTGTGCCTAAAACTTTATGTCAGCCTAAATGTGGAGCACTTTCAACACTGAATAGTTAAAATGACTTGCCCTTGTGGTGAGTACCAAGGAAGGAAATTAAAAAAAGAAAAGAAAAAAAAGTTACTTGAAATCAGTTTGGCAAGCAAAACAGATCACTCATTCTAAAGATTGAGCATTCAGTTTTACAGGAGGAAAAACTCAAGTTCAACATGCTTGAATTAGCAAAGAACATCCTAATGAATTCTCCCTGTGAGGTCAATATGAATTTGTTTTTTAAAATTAGATTTAGATTACAAGTCTGAAACTTAAATATGTTCTCATGTCGTTTTGAATTTGTTTTCCCTCTACTACTGCTCAGGGGAAATATGCTTCCTTTTAATCATCTCTTCTTTGTTCTGGATGTGGTTGATTATCAATTAAATCAGGAGTGCTCTCTCAGATAAGGACATGTTTAAAACCCTGTTGCAGATAACTTCTGATGTGTGAGCTGCATCACATATGGAATTGTCAGGGACTTTTGGCCCTTGGTTGGTTACACAGCACCCCAGTATACTGGGACACATGGCTTTGTTTTCTGAGTCTCCTGACCTTTGTTTCTCGGTGTCTTCATCCCTTCAGTGTATTTTAATGATTACAGAATATTAAATCTGTTACTAGAAAAATGGCTTGTCCTTGCCAGTAAAATCCATTACAAGAAACATTTCAGTATATTTACTCTAGAACATGGAAATTGAATCTATTGATTTTGCTTAAATTTTCATTCTTAGGATGACCCAACCGTGCATTAAAAAAAAAAATGCTTCTAAAAAACAAGAGCATACTTACAGGTATTAATAACAGATGATTTCAGGAAAATTTTCCAAGAACACAGGAAAGTTTTATGTATTCCTCTCCACACCTCTCCCCCCATTTTTTTTTTTTTTTAAATTCTTTTGTTTTTCTCACTTGTGATTCTAGTGGTAATGGTAATGGTAATTTTAGCTGGCTAGTTATAGGTGAAATTCTTGAGATTCAAACTGCACTCTCTCAATCTGAATTAAACTTTAGATACTGTCCATTTTAAGACTCTCATAGAAAGATTTTCTTTAAGACAATACAATTTAATGAAAATACGTATTTTGTATGATTTACATGTGTTGTGAGAGTGAACAAGCACATGGAAACACAACCATGGAGAATTCTTCATTTCACTTTTTATCCTTAGTAAAGCTGAATTACCATTAAAGGAACTGTCTCTAACACACACACATACACTTTGAAAATATTGATGTAAGCAGGGTACCTATCTCCTGATTTAGAATTATATCCTTCTCATTAAGCAACTGAAACCTTGCCTGTTTCTGTCTCCTTTAGGGTGTCATTGGAAAATAATCTAAACAATTAAAACATTTCTTAAAAATCCATCCTCTACAACAGCCATCTTCTGTTGAAAGGTGTTGATTGGCTCCTAAATAATAAGCAGAAGATTAGCTACCTCAGACTTAACTCTTTTTCTAAGAATGCTAAGCATGACATTGATTGTGTTTACTTGTTTCTAGAAATTGAAAACAAAGACATAGTAGAAATGAGCTGAACAACAGGATTTAAATTGGTAAATATATGTACTTCCCCAAAGAAATCAGATAGCAGGCATGAGAGAGACACTAATAAGACTATCTTGCTTACTGCTTACAGAGTTCAGCTTAATGGGCATGTTTTTATTGACCTTTCTTACAGGATTACCACTTTGCTAGGAAGATGACTTGAATCTTAAATGTATTCATCCATGTCATCAAAAAATGGTGCCATTATCAGAGATAGGGTTAGCTTACAGAGGCAATAAAGGCATAAGGAAAGCATCCTCTGGGAAGACAAAGAATAGTAGCATATTTACATAGTCTCTGGTCTG